TCCTGGGTTCAAGTGATTCTCTTGCCTCAGTCTCCTGAGTAGCTTGGATTACAGGCATGCGCCACCATGCCCAGCTAATTTTGTATTTTTAGTAGAGGCAGGGTTTCTCCAAGTTGGTCAGGTGGGTCTGGAACTCCCGACTTCAAGTGATCCCCGCCTGCATCAGCCTCCCAAAGTGCTGGGATTACAGGCATGAGCCACTGCGCCCTGGCCAAGTGATAAACTTTCATTGTTGGGTTAATTGGTAAATAGCAGCTAAAAAAAAAAACCCCTTGTCTTTATATGTACTTCTTTCTACATTTAGTTTGCTAAAGTAGGTGTCTGTGTGTTTAGAGAAATCTGGGTAAAATTGGCCTAGTTTTCCTAGTTATGAAGAGATGATTAACATTGATTTAACAGACAAGTATGTATCAAATGCTTATCCTGACCAGGGCCTGGGCTTGGAGTTAGGGATAAGATGCTAACCGTACAAACATAGTTTATATCTTTATGGAGCTTATTGATATATTGAATTAAAATGCACTTGAACTTAGAGACGTGAAAGTGGAGATAGACGGTTTATTGTCAATCAAGAGGAGGACAGAGACAGTTTTCAAAACCGATAAATTTAACTCACATATTTACTTAAGTACTCGGACTGCCTGGATAACATTTAAGCATAAATATAGATAGTCTGAATTTCCTTATATATAGAATTTGCCATAATTTTTTTAACATAAATGATCATATAATAAAGAATTCTTCTAATATAGAATTTTCAGAATGTCAGAAAACTCTAGCAAACCAAGTTAATTCAGATAGCACTTATTTAGAATTTATGATCTTTTGATCATGATCTGAATTGAAGTTTATGTTTGACTTCATGACAATGAAAAGGTTGTAAACTAAGTTTAAAGAAGATTATAAGGGTAATATTTAATCTACTCAAGGGAGCAAATTTATAAAGCAGAAACAGACTCACTTATTATAAATGTGAATTACAAAAACTTACAAATTAAACTTTTTGTTTATGAAACATCATATTGACCCTTACCAATCAATAATTTTGCTTTCATGGGTAGTTATCATAAACAGTTAGAAGTAATAAAATGCTTTTCTTTAAAAATACTCTGTGATTCTGTCATTTCACTCTTTCAGATGGACCTTACATCTATGTGCTCCATTACTTGAACTGAATATGTTTGAAACTCTTCTTACTTCCTTGTCCTACAGTTAGAGGCAAAATTGCAATTCTCAAATGCCAGTCAGTGGACCAGTTGCATTAGAAGATGGGTCCAGATGTGTGGTGGCACAAGGCTGTAATCCCAGCTACTCAGAATCGCTTGAAGCTGGTGGGTGGA